AAATGCACAAGCTGAGTCTCCAGGTACCATACCAACAACTTCTACGCTTATTTTTAACATTCCTTTTTTAGTTTCTGCTCGCTTCGTGCTTGGTAGTGCCTTTTATGAGTTAGCATTGGTTCTAAACTCTACAAAATTCTGAACTTGATACCCCCAAACTACACAGCCATACTGTACTGTTTCTACTTTCTATTTTCTGTTATCATGAATTTTCCTTGAATCGTGGTCGGGTGTGATCATTTTCTTGATATATATAAGCGTGGTTTCTGAAAAATGCAATTTTGAAAGTAAAAAGTAGTAAAACATTCATATTTTGGTGCTGAAGTCCTTGGAAAACCATAACCTTTCACTGGCAGTCATAAATTCTGATCAAACAAAACTGTCTCCTCATTTTTCTCTTTAAGTAGACATTTTCTGGCTTTAACGATCTCCCGACCAACTTTTTCATCTTATATTTTATTTTTTGAATTGCAATTCCCATCAACGTTTTCTTTGATTTGAATTTTTATGTAACTTCAGTGTATCGGTTTTAAAAAAGCTCTGGGACCGGTTTTTCAAGTGTCAGCAACTGCAATTGTGTCTGCATTTGTCCGTAATTTTCGGCAATATCAAGAAACATGACGGAAACTGCAATTTAAAACCTTGAAATTGGTGCTTAATGAACTATTTTGCTGTCATACTTTGGAACAGGTATTCATGAGGTCAGAGCAGTGCACCATCAGAATTTGAATAAGAGAATTCTAATTGCATTAGTTGCTTGTTCTGGTCTTGTTGGTGGAGTCTTCCTAATCATAGTTTATGTCTGGTTCCGTCGACATAAAACCTCAAAACTCTCCAGAAGTAAAAGCCAAGAAACCACCGGTATGACTATTTTTTCTGGTGAAACTTTATTTGGGTCTTCTTTTTGTTTTTGTGCAGAGGTAATGCAAGCATAGAAAATTCCTTTTCCGCTCCTCATTCATTTATTTATTGAACTTGTAGAGGCTGCAAAAGGGGAGACTTTAAGCTCGGTTAATGCAAAACTTAATTACTCAAGGATGGCAGATAAGAAGAGTTCAGTTGCTATTTTTGACTATCAGCTGTTGGAGGCTGCCACGAACAGCTTTAGCACAAGCAGTATTATGAGAAAGAGTGGTTCTAGAATCATTTACAGAGCTAACTTTGATGAGCATTTCCAGGCAGCTGTGAAGAAAGCAGATAGTGATGCTGATAGAGAATTTGAGGTGATGGTCCTTTAGAATTATACTTGAACATGTATTTCCTGGGATATGATATTTCTCTTTATTGAATTCGCCTTTAGTTGTTGCGCTAAATTTCAGAATGAAGTGAGTTGGTTGAGCAAGATGCGCCATCAGAATATCATAAAACTTATGGGTTATTGTGTTCATGGTCAATCGAGGTTTCTTGTTTATGAATTGGTGGAGAACGGGTCTCTGGAAACTCAATTGCATGGTACATTTTTCATTAATGTTGATCAAGAAAAAAGGAAAAAGTTCATATATTAGGAACTTAATGATCACATGTTGCTCATTGGTATCAACAATTTGTAGGGCCTAATCGAGGGTCATCTTTAACCTGGTATCTAAGGTTAAGAATTGCTGTTGATGTTGCCAGGTGAATTTAGGATGCCTTTTCTGCTTAAAATTAATTAAGTATTCGTTGCCTCATCTATATTGTCTAATGCATATTTCGTCTGTTAGAGCATTAGAATATCTCCATGAACACTCCAATCCTCCTGTGGTTCATCGAGACTTACAATCTTCTAATGTTCTTCTGGACTCTAACTTTAATGCGAAGGTTAGATTGTTATTGACTTAATAATCTTACATGTTCTCAATTAGTTAATTATATTGTTCATTTTCCTTTCTGAGTTTTGTGATTCAGTTATCAGATTTTGGATTTGCTATGGTTTCTGGAATGCAACACAAGAACATGAAGATGTCAGGAACTTTAGGATACGTGGCCCCTGAGTACATATCACATGGTATGCAGGAATATTTATCATCATGAAAAGACATAACATTAACCTTGCCACACTGTTGCTTCATGCTCTTCCTGTTTGATCACTTCACTTTTCTTTTGAAAATCATTTCTTTCTAAGTTTTTATGTCATTCTTTTTTTCTAGTGACTGCTGCCATTGCTAGGTACTATAATAAATAAGTTCTACAATTGTGATTATCCTGAATGACAATCAGTGAATGGAGTTTTCTTATTTGGGGGAAATTCTTTTTATCCTTGTGCAAGTTGAGAAAGGAAAAGGACATAATCTACTTTTTCTTTTGTTGAAGTTTAGTAACTTACTATCTACAGTATTGTAAAGGAAAATAATCCAATTAAGAGGGATAGAGGAAGACAGGAAACCTAAATGGCTATTTTTGGACTGACTGAAAGGGATGGAATGAAGTGAAATGAGGTGTAGTTGGATGGAATGGAAAGGACCTTTCCCTTTCTCTCCCTTGAATTTGGAGGGCATGGGGATGGTATTATCTATTCCATGATAAATTTCCAAACATAGAAATGGTACCTTTGTCCCGTTTCATTCTATTCCATTCCATTCCCCTCATGCATTTCATTCTTTTATATTCATCATTAGATATTGAAGCCTATCCTTAAAAAACTTCAGTAGAACCCATTAAAAAATCTTGATATAGTGTGTAATTTGCAAGTACTAGCTTACTTTGTGAGGGTAGAAGAGATATTAGTGAATTGAACCGTTTCCCCTTGTAATAGCTTTAAGCTGACTGAAACTATGAAGCTTGATCTTTCCATTTTTCCATTTTCCTTCAAAATGAATGTAACAAGAGCCAGCTTTTCAGGTAAACTAACTGACAAGAGCGATGTCTATGCTTTTGGGGTTGTCCTTCTAGAACTCCTAACCGGAAGAAAGCCCATGGAGAACATGACCTCAAACCAATATCAATCCCTTGTATCATGGGTATGTTTTCTCAGTGGAGAAATCTGAATGAAAACTCCAGTTCTGCAGTACTTGATGGTTAAAACTTTCACCTTGCAGGCCATGCCTCAGCTAACTGACAGATCGAAGCTTCCAAGTATTCTTGATCCTGTTATCAGAGACACAATGGATTTGAAGCACTTGTATCAGGTTCGTTGGGTAGAAGCACTGTTATCACAAGTTTTTCTGCTTAATGATAAATGCAACATCTTAAGTTCATGTTAGCATTCTACAGGTTGCTGCAGTTGCTGTACTCTGCGTGCAAGCAGAACCAAGTTATAGGCCACTCATAACAGACGTGCTGCACTCTCTCATCCCTTTGGTACCCGTTGAGCTTGGAGGGTCATTAAGAGTTACAGAACCCATCAGCTCAGAGAACTCTCATTGATATTATATAATCGTTTTTTCATTTTTCAACTATGGTACCTGTTCACTTCTTAAACTTTATAATTATAATCATTGTTATTAATATTACAAAGAGACAAAGAGGAATATCCAAGTGTAATTATTTATGATTGCAATTTGATTCTTCTTTCACTCGTACTATATGAAACTCGAATGTCTATTAAACTGTGTTCTTATATGACACATATTGGACACTTACACGCGTATGACATATCACAATGATATTACCATCTTTACAAGTTCTGAAAACATTCTAAAAGATTAATTTGGTAGCTGTATAACCGAAAGACGCATTTGGACTTACAAATCATTAATCTTAAGAAAGAAAACATACACACCACGCAGACAAATGTATTCCTAACATTTGAACACGAATTTTACGGTTAACAGAGTTGAGTCTATCAAAAGGAGACATAAACACCAATGAGATATGAGTTCAATCATATAATAGATTGACACCACTCTTTACCCAAAACCTTAAGACAACGAGTTAACAGGTCTTTCATCTTAGTATAGTGCTTTACTTTCTCATTGTTATCTAATGTGGGACTTACACACACTTGAATTTCAAACGATCACGGTTCATGAATATTGAAGCAAGGTCAAGTTGGCATTTTTGCTAACTAGAAATAATCTAATAAGAACACAGCACTGATGTTTGTTTTCAAGTCAAACCCATGGAAAACAACTAGAAAGAGATGGAAAATAAGTCCGAGAATGGGTTCACTTTGTTTTTAATGTATACTAAATTTCTTGAAATTCACGATTCCTTGTCATGAGTACTATAAATTATCCCGCATGCTTAATCGTTGGTTTTGTTTTCATAGCAGATATGAACACAGAAAATGTAAAATTCCTCCAACCATCTTCGTAGGAATCTCATGTTTCTTCGTAGTCATCAATTTCAAGGAGTTTAGTCACTTACAAACAAAAATTTGCTTAGTCGGCTTAAGCATATGCCTTATAAGTTCTAAACAGATACGATTAGAAATTTTGTGATACTAATTTGGCTATGACAGAGAATCGCTGCATTGTCCTAGACAAACAGTCCCTGCAATCATTGAAACATTAAGATAACTTACAGTAGTACATCTAAATTTCATATGAAGTACTCAAATTATTCCTTGAAGAATCCACAACAAATACATAACGTACAGACTACTCATCATGATTCCGTGACCATAACTCATGTTAGCTTCTAGTAAACTTCTTGATAAGAACTTACGTACTTTTCTACAATTCTACAAGTTATTTGAACTAATATTTTCAAAGATTGAATTACATTAGCATAAAAGTTTTATTTTAATCACTTAATTTTTTTCTCTTATAAGGGAACATCTTGTATAGTTCCATTTCATGGTGAGAAAAAATGCATTATAAAATGTCATCTTAGTAGGCATAAATGCAATCTTGGAAAAGAAAACAAGAGAAACATGAATGATACAGAAGATTCATTCTACAATGCCTCGATAGGAGACAATTTTAACGATACTACCAATGAAGGAAATCACTAACAGCCAAGGCAACATGTCTTGAAATTTTCCTTTTACCACTTCACCTTGATGAAGTACTTAAATACTCTTCCTAATGAGTTTAGAATAGCCCCCACCCGTTCCCGAACTCCCAAAACACAGGGAAACCATGCCATTTCCACGCCGGATTTCGGCAAGGAATCCAAAGACCACGCTTCTACATATTGTCCATCGTGGTGGGTATGTTGAGCTCCATGACAGACCAGTGACTGCAGCTGAGATTATGTGCCGCTATCCAAGATGTTGTGTAACATATCCAAATGTGTTCCAGCAACCATGGGCAGTTGTTGAACCAGATGCAAAGCTTGTGCTTGGACAAAAGTACTATGTAGTACCATTGAGCACAATAAGAAAACTTCAAGGGCTATCTCCAAGGAGCTCTCCTTCTCCTGCTCATGAAATTGCAACCAGTTCTTCAGTTTATGAGATTAGAAACACACAATCCAGCAAAGAGGAAAAAGATGATGGTATGCTTTCCACTTGTTGTGTCTTCATGAATAAAAGCACTGCAAAGAAAACAAATAACTACAAACATTCCAAAAATAAGAACCATGTTAGGAATTTGAGTACAAATGTTNAAGCAGATAGTGATGCTGATAGAGAATTTGAGGTGATGGTCCTTTAGAATTATACTTGAACATGTATTTCCTGGGATATGATATTTCTCTTTATTGAATTCGCCTTTAGTTGTTGCGCTAAATTTCAGAATGAAGTGAGTTGGTTGAGCAAGATGCGCCATCAGAATATCATAAAACTTATGGGTTATTGTGTTCATGGTCAATCGAGGTTTCTTGTTTATGAATTGGTGGAGAACGGGTCTCTGGAAACTCAATTGCATGGTACATTTTTCATTAATGTTGATCAAGAAAAAAGGAAAAAGTTCATATATTAGGAACTTAATGATCACATGTTGCTCATTGGTATCAACAATTTGTAGGGCCTAATCGAGGGTCATCTTTAACCTGGTATCTAAGGTTAAGAATTGCTGTTGATGTTGCCAGGTGAATTTAGGATGCCTTTTCTGCTTAAAATTAATTAAGTATTCGTTGCCTCATCTATATTGTCTAATGCATATTTCGTCTGTTAGAGCATTAGAATATCTCCATGAACACTCCAATCCTCCTGTGGTTCATCGAGACTTACAATCTTCTAATGTTCTTCTGGACTCTAACTTTAATGCGAAGGTTAGATTGTTATTGACTTAATAATCTTACATGTTCTCAATTAGTTAATTATATTGTTCATTTTCCTTTCTGAGTTTTGTGATTCAGTTATCAGATTTTGGATTTGCTATGGTTTCTGGAATGCAACACAAGAACATGAAGATGTCAGGAACTTTAGGATACGTGGCCCCTGAGTACATATCACATGGTATGCAGGAATATTTATCATCATGAAAAGACATAACATTAACCTTGCCACACTGTTGCTTCATGCTCTTCCTGTTTGATCACTTCACTTTTCTTTTGAAAATCATTTCTTTCTAAGTTTTTATGTCATTCTTTTTTTCTAGTGACTGCTGCCATTGCTAGGTACTATAATAAATAAGTTCTACAATTGTGATTATCCTGAATGACAATCAGTGAATGGAGTTTTCTTATTTGGGGGAAATTCTTTTTATCCTTGTGCAAGTTGAGAAAGGAAAAGGACATAATCTACTTTTTCTTTTGTTGAAGTTTAGTAACTTACTATCTACAGTATTGTAAAGGAAAATAATCCAATTAAGAGGGATAGAGGAAGACAGGAAACCTAAATGGCTATTTTTGGACTAACTGAAAGGGATGGAATGAAGTGAAATGAGGTGTAGTTGGATGGAATGGAAAGGACCTTTCCCTTTCTCTCCCTTGAATTTGGAGGGCATGGGGATGGTATTATCTATTCCATGATAAATTTCCAAACATAGAAATGGTACCTTTGTCCCGTTTCATTCTATTCCATTCCATTCCCCTCATGCATTTCATTCTTTTATATTCATCATTAGATATTGAAGCCTATCCTTAAAAAACTTCAGTAGAACCCATTAAAAAATCTTGATATAGTGTGTAATTTGCAAGTACTAGCTTACTTTGTGAGGGTAGAAGAGATATTAGTGAATTGAACCGTTTCCCCTTGTAATAGCTTTAAGCTGACTGAAACTATGAAGCTTGATCTTTCCATTTTTCCATTTTCCTTCAAAATGAATATAACAAGAGCCAGCTTTTCAGGTAAACTAACTGACAAGAGCGATGTCTATGCTTTTGGGGTTGTCCTTCTAGAACTCCTAACCGGAAGAAAGCCCATGGAGAACATGACCTCAAACCAATATCAATCCCTTGTATCATGGGTATGTTTTCTCAGTGGAGAAATCTGAATGAAAACTCCAGTTCTGCAGTACTTGATGGTTAAAACTTTCACCTTGCAGGCCATGCCTCAGCTAACTGACAGATCGAAGCTTCCAAGTATTCTTGATCCTGTTATCAGAGACACAATGGATTTGAAGCACTTGTATCAGGTTCGTTGGGTAGAAGCACTGTTATCACAAGTTTTTCTGCTTAATGATAAATGCAACATCTTAAGTTCATGTTAGCATTCTACAGGTTGCTGCAGTTGCTGTACTCTGCGTGCAAGCAGAACCAAGTTATAGGCCACTCATAACAGACGTGCTGCACTCTCTCATCCCTTTGGTACCCGTTGAGCTTGGAGGGTCATTAAGAGTTACAGAACCCATCAGCTCAGAGAACTCTCATTGATATTATATAATCGTTTTTTCATTTTTCAACTATGGTACCTGTTCACTTCTTAAACTTTATAATTATAATCATTGTTATTAATATTACAAAGAGACAAAGAGGAATATCCAAGTGTAATTATTTATGATTGCAATTTGATTCTTCTTTCACTCGTACTATATGAAACTCGAATGTCTATTAAACTGTGTTCTTATATGACACATATTGGACACTTACACGCGTATGACATATCACAATGATATTACCATCTTTACAAGTTCTGAAAACATTCTAAAAGATTAATTTGGTAGCTGTATAACCGAAAGACGCATTTGGACTTACAAATCATTAATCTTAAGAAAGAAAACATACACACCACGCAGACAAATGTATTCCTAACATTTGAACACGAATTTTACGGTTAACAGAGTTGAGTCTATCAAAAGGAGACATAAACACCAATGAGATATGAGTTCAATCATATAATAGATTGACACCACTCTTTACCCAAAACCTTAAGACAACGAGTTAACAGGTCTTTCATCTTAGTATAGTGCTTTACTTTCTCATTGTTATCTAATGTGGGACTTACACACACTTGAATTTCAAACGATCACGGTTCATGAATATTGAAGCAAGGTCAAGTTGGCATTTTTGCTAACTAGAAATAATCTAATAAGAACACAGCACTGATGTTTGTTTTCAAGTCAAACCCATGGAAAACAACTAGAAAGAGATGGAAAATAAGTCCGAGAATGGGTTCACTTTGTTTTTAATGTATACTAAATTTCTTGAAATTCACGATTCCTTGTCATGAGTACTATAAATTATCCCGCATGCTTAATCGTTGGTTTTGTTTTCATAGCAGATATGAACACAGAAAATGTAAAATTCCTCCAACCATCTTCGTAGGAATCTCATGTTTCTTCGTAGTCATCAATTTCAAGGAGTTTAGTCACTTACAAACAAAAATTTGCTTAGTCGGCTTAAGCATATGCCTTATAAGTTCTAAACAGATACGATTAGAAATTTTGTGATACTAATTTGGCTATGACAGAGAATCGCTGCATTGTCCTAGACAAACAGTCCCTGCAATCATTGAAACATTAAGATAACTTACAGTAGTACATCTAAATTTCATATGAAGTACTCAAATTATTCCTTGAAGAATCCACAACAAATACATAACGTACAGACTACTCATCATGATTCCGTGACCATAACTCATGTTAGCTTCTAGTAAACTTCTTGATAAGAACTTACGTACTTTTCTACAATTCTACAAGTTATTTGAACTAATATTTTCAAAGATTGAATTACATTAGCATAAAAGTTTTATTTTAATCACTTAATTTTTTTCTCTTATAAGGGAACATCTTGTATAGTTCCATTTCATGGTGAGAAAAAATGCATTATAAAATGTCATCTTAGTAGGCATAAATGCAATCTTGGAAAAGAAAACAAGAGAAACATGAATGATACAGAAGATTCATTCTACAATGCCTCGATAGGAGACAATTTTAACGATACTACCAATGAAGGAAATCACTAACAGCCAAGGCAACATGTCTTGAAATTTTCCTTTTACCACTTCACCTTGATGAAGTACTTAAATACTCTTCCTAATGAGTTTAGAATAGCCCCCACCCGTTCCCGAACTCCCAAAACAAAGGGAAACCATGCCATTTCCACGCCGGATTTCGGCAAAGAATCCAAAGACCACGCTTCTACATATTGTCCATCGTGGTGGGTATGTTGAGCTCCATGACAGACCAGTGACTGCAGCTGAGATTATGTGCCGCTATCCAAGATGTTGTGTAACATATCCAAATGTGTTCCAGCAACCATGGGCAGTTGTTGAACCAGATGCAAAGCTTGTGCTTGGACAAAAGTACTATGTAGTACCATTGAGCACAATAAGAAAACTTCAAGGGCTATCTCCAAGGAGCTCTCCTTCTCCTGCTCATGAAATTGCAACCAGTTCTTCAGTTTATGAGATTAGAAACACACAATCCAGCAAAGAGGAAAAAGATGATGGTATGCTTTCCACTTGTTGTGTCTTCATGAATAAAAGCACTGCAAAGAAAACAAATAACTACAAACATTCCAAAAATAAGAACCATGTTAGGAATTTGAGTACAAATGTTAATGATAATAATAATAATGGTTGTTTATTGCATGATAATTGCTTTGTGAGCCTGCTTAATGGAGGCAGGACTAAAGCAACTGTTGGTGATATGACAAAAGAAATAAGAACATCATCAAACAGAGCTCACCCTCGTAATGACAATACATTAACCAGGAGGAGGACACAAGATCTAACGGGAAAAGGGTTAAGAAGCTCTCCTAAGAATGTATGGTCTTCTTCTGACCATTGGCTACCAAGTCTAGAGAGTATCACCGAAGAATGAAATAGTAGAAGTCTTGGCTGCTGATGATATCCAATAACCTACTTTCTATTTATTGGTTATACTTGAGGTAAAATAATGCTCCCTCAGCTGCGTCGTCTGCTGCTTCTTTCTTTTTCCGATGAGGGGCACCATAGCACTCTAATGTGTTTCTAGATGCTTCTATAGTAATGATAACCTTGAAAGTGAACCTGAGATAAGCATCAACTAGTCACAACGGATAACAGAAAGAAAATGTATAATGATATTTCCTTTAGTTTCATCATAAGTGAAAAACAGAAGGAAAGCAGCAAAAGAAATTTACTATCATAAAGGCCAATTGTTTTAAGTTTATTCAAATTCCGGATGACATTTGGTCAAGTAATTGAACAACTTTAGTGGCAATCAATGCAATCTTGTGAACAAGAATGAGCTTTTTATATAAGATATTGCTTCTTAAATTGTACAGTTTAGAAGAGGATACAACACTAAGTCATCATAACAGAGAAAAATAAAGAATTATTCAGCGAGGCAAAAACATAACCAAATAAGATGTAGGTAGTACACATACATTCTCTCATGACTTGGGCCTTCCTCTTTGCAACATTCAAAGATTGGAGGTTTCCAATGATTTGCAACACAGATTTCATACAAATTAGACCTTGCAGTTCCTTTCTTCATACCTAAATTCAAAGGGATCATAATATTGATAAAAGAAACATCTTGGAATAAAAAAATATGAATTAAAGAGAAAGATAAGACATCATTCAACACTGGCAAACCAAAGTAAAAGACAGGAAAACATTTGAATGGACTAAATCAAGAATCCAATGGTTCTCCACAAACAACTTGAAGACCTAGCACACTATAATGATTAGAGACAATCAAGAACAATTTCCAGAAAGCACAAAACATAGGCAATTTATGTGACTCAAAAAGAGCTTCAAAATGAAAGAGAAAACATCCTCATACTTAAAAAAAAACAATCAAATAAAGCAAAAGCAAGAACAAAGGAAACTGTTATTCCAACCTTCTTCTGTCTGAGACGGAGTCGTTGGGGTGCCACAAGACTCACTCTTTTGGTTAGATGAACTTGAAGAAGCTCCCTCAACTACAATTTTCGTCATTCCCAAGGAGGGTTCTTTGACAATGTCTTTATCAGAAGCACGCAACTTTCCCAGACTAGGTTTCGCTTTGCATCTTTAACAGCAGTTCTGCTACAAAAACTGTTGTTCAACTTATTCTGCAAAAGAGAGGGCAAGAAAAAATTTCTTTCAAAAGATAAAAAAAGAGACAAATTTTGCGCCAACCCAATTGTAAAAAAACAGAAAAGGAAAATAGGAAAATAGACAACCTTTGAATTAGAGGAAGGATTTGTGACTCGAAAGGGATCGATTGGAGGAAGGTTTTTGAGATTAACAGCAAGTTTTGGGATGTGAGAGAAATTGTTTTCCATGCTTATTTGTCTTCTCCTATTCAATAAAATTTTGCAGTTTGTGAGAAGATATAATGAAGAAGATTGAAGGGACCAACAATGAAAGTTATGAAGGAAGCAGCACACGAATCTTGTTGTTTCTCACTGAATCTTTCTTCTCATGGAAATGCAAATACAATTCCATGAATGAGTTAGGTTTACTTTTATAAACTCTTTGAAAACTAAGTTGGTTATCCATTGAATAAAAGCCCTTGGTTAATTACATTTTAATAGAATCCTTTACTGTAAAGTACAAACATACCAGAAGATAGAAGAGATACAATTATCTATGTGAAATTCTGTTCATGAAAAAAAAATAAAAAAATCTGTGTAAATTTAACCAAAGATAAGATAATCTTAAAAGAGGATTACAAATATGACAGCATAAGAGAAGAGGATGATTTATTTATAAAAGTCTTTACTCTCTTGTCTTAATTTTTTGGACATAATTAATAGTAAATTTGCTGAGAATTTGAATTCTTTTTTATTAAACACACTTTGTGAGATACAAATAGATTATATAAGTTTAACTAAAATTTAATATTATAACTGAAATCATATTTATCCTATACTGATTTTAGGTTTTCTTTATTTTATTGATTTTTCTCATAACTTTACTTCTAACCAAAACATATGTAAGAATTTTTTAACCCAAAATATAGTGACTTGAATATCATACTATATAACTTATTTTATTTAATCATAGTAAAAACATATATGTGTGTGCACGAACTTTTTTACAATAATAAAAATTATATGTAATTAAATAATAAATATTGAAATAAAAAACATTTTTAAATTTAAATTGTATAGAACTTTATACAAATGAGTCGTAATTTATTAATTTTACAATTACAATTAGAGCAGTCGTAACTTATTTTGCTCTTATATGTTCAGAATTGTTACATATTTTTTAAAATTGGTATTTTTGTTTACAGCATTAAAAACCCATAATTAAAAAGATAGAATAGGCTAAATATTTTATCAGTCTCCTAATTCATAGAAGTTTGTTCTCATCATTTGTTATTCTAGATGGTTGAATTGACCTGTTTCAAAACGTGTGTAAATTAATTTAATTTTAACATTTTATTATAATGTATAAAAATATTTTAAAGTATAAATTCAAATTAAAAATTAACTTTAAAGNCAAGAGCGATGTCTATGCTTTTGGGGTTGTCCTTCTAGAACTCCTAACCGGAAGAAAGCCCATGGAGAACATGACCTCAAACCAATATCAATCCCTTGTATCATGGGTATGTTTTCTCAGTGGAGAAATCTGAATGAAAACTCCAGTTCTGCAGTACTTGATGGTTAAAACTTTCACCTTGCAGGCCATGCCTCAGCTAACTGACAGATCGAAGCTTCCAAGTATTCTTGATCCTGTTATCAGAGACACAATGGATTTGAAGCACTTGTATCAGGTTCGTTGGGTAGAAGCACTGTTATCACAAGTTTTTCTGCTTAATGATAAATGCAACATCTTAAGTTCATGTTAGCATTCTACAGGTTGCTGCAGTTGCTGTACTCTGCGTGCAAGCAGAACCAAGTTATAGGCCACTCATAACAGACGTGCTGCACTCTCTCATCCCTTTGGTACCCGTTGAGCTTGGAGGGTCATTAAGAGTTACAGAACCCATCAGCTCAGAGAACTCTCATTGATATTATATAATCGTTTTTTCATTTTTCAACTATGGTACCTGTTCACTTCTTAAACTTTATAATTATAATCATTGTTATTAATATTACAAAGAGACAAAGAGGAATATCCAAGTGTAATTATTTATGATTGCAATTTGATTCTTCTTTCACTCGTACTATATGAAACTCGAATGTCTATTAAACTGTGTTCTTATATGACACATATTGGACACTTACACGCGTATGACATATCACAATGATATTACCATCTTTACAAGTTCTGAAAACATTCTAAAAGATTAATTTGGTAGCTGTATAACCGAAAGACGCATTTGGACTTACAAATCATTAATCTTAAGAAAGAAAACATACACACCACGCAGACAAATGTATTCCTAACATTTGAACACGAATTTTACGGTTAACAGAGTTGAGTCTATCAAAAGGAGACATAAACACCAATGAGATATGAGTTCAATCATATAATAGATTGACACCACTCTTTACCCAAAACCTTAAGACAACGAGTTAACAGGTCTTTCATCTTAGTATAGTGCTTTACTTTCTCATTGTTATCTAATGTGGGACTTACACACACTTGAATTTCAAACGATCACGGTTCATGAATATTGAAGCAAGGTCAAGTTGGCATTTTTGCTAACTAGAAATAATCTAATAAGAACACAGCACTGATGTTTGTTTTCAAGTCAAACCCATGGAAAACAACTAGAAAGAGATGGAAAATAAGTCCGAGAATGGGTTCACTTTGTTTTTAATGTATACTAAATTTCTTGAAATTCACGATTCCTTGTCATGAGTACTATAAATTATCCCGCATGCTTAATCGTTGGTTTTGTTTTCATAGCAGATATGAACACAGAAAATGTAAAATTCCTCCAACCATCTTCGTAGGAATCTCATGTTTCTTCGTAGTCATCAATTTCAAGGAGTTTAGTCACTTACAAACAAAAATTTGCTTAGTCGGCTTAAGCATATGCCTTATAAGTTCTAAACAGATACGATTAGAAATTTTGTGATACTAATTTGGCTATGACAGAGAATCGCTGCATTGTCCTAGACAAACAGTCCCTGCAATCATTGAAACATTAAGATAACTTACAGTAGTACATCTAAATTTCATATGAAGTACTCAAATTATTCCTTGAAGAATCCACAACAAATACATAACGTACAGACTACTCATCATGATTCCGTGACCATAACTCATGTTAGCTTCTAGTAAACTTCTTGATAAGAACTTACGTACTTTTCTACAATTCTACAAGTTATTTGAACTAATATTTTCAAAGATTGAATTACATTAGCATAAAAGTTTTATTTTAATCACTTAATTTTTTTCTCTTATAAGGGAACATCTTGTATAGTTCCATTTCATGGTGAGAAAAAATGCATTATAAAATGTCATCTTAGTAGGCATAAATGCAATCTTGGAAAAGAAAACAAGAGAAACATGAATGATACAGAAGATTCATTCTACAATGCCTCGATAGGAGACAATTTTAACGATACTACCAATGAAGGAAATCACTAACAGCCAAGGCAACATGTCTTGAAATTTTCCTTTTACCACTTCACCTTGATGAAGTACTTAAATACTCTTCCTAATGAGTTTAGAATAGCCCCCACCCGTTCCCGAACTCCCAAAACACAGGGAAACCATGCCATTTCCACGCCGGATTTCGGCAAGGAATCCAAAGACCACGCTTCTACATATTGTCCATCGTGGTGGGTATGTTGAGCTCCATGACAGACCAGTGACTGCAGCTGAGATTATGTGCCGCTATCCAAGATGTTGTGTAACATATCCAAATGTGTTCCAGCAACCATGGGCAGTTGTTGAACCAGATGCAAAGCTTGTGCTTGGACAAAAGTACTATGTAGTACCATTGAGCACAATAAGAAAACTTCAAGGGCTATCTCCAAGGAGCTCTCCTTCTCCTGCTCATGAAATTGCAACCAGTTCTTCAGTTTATGAGATTAGAAACACACAATCCAGCAAAGAGGAAAAAGATGATGGTATGCTTTCCACTTGTTGTGTCTTCATGAATAAAAGCACTGCAAAGAAAACAAATAACTACAAACATTCCAAAAATAAGAACCATGTTAGGAATTTGAGTACAAATGTTAATGATAATAATAATAATGGTTGTTTATTGCATGATAATTGCTTTGTGAGCCTGCTTAATGGAGGCAGGACTAAAGCAACTGTTGGTGATATGACAAAAGAAATAAGAACATCATCAAACAGAGCTCACCCTCGTAATGACAATACATTAACCAGGAGGAGGACACAAGATCTAACGGGAAAAGGGTTAAGAAGCTCTCCTAAGAATGTATGGTCTTCTTCTGACCATTGGCTACCAAGTCTAGAGAGTATCACCGAAGAATGAAATAGTAGAAGTCTTGGCTGCTGATGATATCCAATAACCTACTTTCTATTTATTGGTTATACTTGAGGTAAAATAATGCTCCCTCAGCTGCGTCGTCTGCTGCTTCTTTCTTTTTCCGATGAGGGGCACCATAGCACTCTAATGTGTTTCTAGATGCTTCTATAGTAATGATAACCTTGAAAGTGAACCTGAGATAAGCATCAACTAGTCACAACGGATAACAGAAAGAAAATGTATAATGATATTTCCTTTAGTTTCATCATGAGTGACAAACAGAAGGAAAGCAGCAAAAGAAATTTACTATCATAAAGGCCAATTGTTTTAAGTTTATTCAAATTCCGGATGACATTTGGTCAAGTAATTGAACAACTTTAGTGGCAATCAATGCAATCTTGTGAACAAGAATGAGCTTTTTATATAAGATATTGCTTCTTAAATTGTACAGTTTAGAAGAGGATACAACACTAAGTCATCATAACAGAGAAAAATAAAGAATTATTCAGCGAGGCAAAAACATAACCAAATAAGATGTAGGTAGTACACATACATTCTCTCATGACTTGGGCCTTCCTCTTTGCAACATTCAAAGATTGGAGGTTTCCAATGATTTGCAACACAGATTTCATACAAATTAGACCTTGCAGTTCCTTTCTTCATACCTAAATTCAAAGGGATCATAATATTGATAAAAGAAACATCTTGGAATAAAAAAATATGAATTAAAGAGAAAGATAAGACATCATTCAACACTGGCAAACCAAAGTAAAAGACAGGAAAACATTTTAATGGACTAAATCAAGAATCCAATGGTTCTCCACAAACAACTTGAAGACCTAGCACACTATAATGATTAGAGACAATCAAGAACAATTTCCAGAAAGCACAAAACATAGGCAATTTATGTGACTCAAAAAGAGCTTCAAAATGAAAGAGAAAACATCCTCATACTTAAAAAAAAACAATCAAATAAAGCAAAAGCAAGAACAAAGGAAACTGTTATTCCAACCTTCTTCTGTCTGAGACGGAGTCGTTGGGGTGCCACAAGACTCACTCTTTTGGTTAGATGAACTTGAAGAAGCTCCCTCAACTACAATTTTCGTCATTCCCAAGGAGGGTTCTTTGACAATGTCTTTATCAGAAGCACGCAACTTTCCCAGACTAGGTTTCGCTTTGCATCTTTAACAGCAGTTCTGCTACAAAAACTGTTGTTCAACTTATTCTGCAAAAGAGAGGGCAAGAAAAAATTTCTTTCAAAAGATAAAAAAAGAGACAAATTTTGCGCCAACCCAATTGTAAAAAAACAGAAAAGGAAAATAGGAAAATAGACAACCTTTGAATTAGAGGAAGGATTTGTGACTCGAAAGGGATCGATTGGAGGAAGGTTTTTGAGATTAACAGCAAGTTTTGGGATGTGAGAGAAATTGTTTTCCATGCTTATTTGTCTTCTCCTATTCAATAAAATTTTGCAGTTTGTGAGAAGATATAATGAAGAAGATTGAAGGGACCAACAATGAAAGTTATGAAGGAAGCAGCACACGAATCTTGTTGTTTCTCACTGAATCTTTCTTCTCATGGAAATGCAAATACAATTCCATGAATGAGTTAGGTTTACTTTTATAAACTCTTTGAAAACTAAGTTGGTTATCCATTGAATAAAAGCCCTTGGTTAATTACATTTTAATAGAATCCTTTACTGTAAAGTACAAACATACCAGAAGATAGAAGAGATACAATTATCTATGTGAAATTCTGTTCATGAAAAAAAAATAAAAAAATCTGTGTAAATTTAACCAAAGATAAGATAATCTTAAAAGAGGATTACAAATATGACAGCATAAGAGAAGAGGATGATTTATTTATAAAAGTCTTTACTCTCTTGTCTTAATTTTTTGGACATAATTAATAGTAAATTTGCTGAGAATTTGAATTCTTTTTTATTAAACACACTTTGTGAGATACAAATAGATTATATAAGTTTAACTAAAATTTAATATTATAACTGAAATCATATTTATCCTATACTGATTTTAGGTTTTCTTTATTTTATTGATTTTTCTCATAACTTTACTTCTAACCAAAACATATGTAAGAATTTTTTAACCCAAAATATAGTGACTTGAATATCATACTATATAACTTATTTTATTTAATCATAGTAAAAACATATATGTGTGTGCACGAACTTTTTTACAATAATAAAAATTATATGTAATTAAATAATAAATATTGAAATAAAAAACATTTTTAAATTTAAATTGTATAGAACTTTATACAAATGAGTCGTAATTTATTAATTTTACAATTACAATTAGAGCAGTCGTAACTTATTTTGCTCTTATATGTTCAGAATTGTTACATATTTTTTAAAATTGGTATTTTTGTTTACAGCATTAAAAACCCATAATTAAAAAGATAGAATAGGCTAAATATTTTATCAGTCTCCTAATTCATAGAAGTTTGTTCTCATCATTTGTTATTCTAGATGGTTGAATTGACCTGTTTCAAAACGTGTGTAAATTAATTTAATTTTAACATTTTATTATAATGTATAAAAATATTTTAAAGTATAAATTCAAATTAAAAATTAACTTTAAAGTATAATTTAATTAAACTGCATATTATAATATAATTACAAGTAAATATAATTTTTCTAAAAAGTAATTTAAGCAAGTTGTACAGTAAAATTTAAATTTATAAAAGGAAAAAATTTATAAAATTAAATTTTAAACAATTTTTAATTATTAATGTTTTTCTTACTAATAATTAATTTAATTAATTTGATTTAAAAAAATATAAAAACAAAAATCAATGATATCTACACTTAGATACCATGTAAACTCATTAAAAATATTCTATGACAACATTGGTAGATCATAAGTGTCATTTTTTTACAATCACCACTAGGTGTGTATAGTTGTTTTTAAAGTTGAATAACATTTTCATTAAGTATTTCCTCAATAATATATTAATATATCTTTCTTTTGTTGATGTTGAGAGTTAACTGTATTGAAATATTACAATTTACAATATATATCATTTGCAGATTTTATCTAACAATATTCATTTACAGGTACAATTTTTTTGTTAACAAAATTGATAATTGTTTATATGTTAAACATAACAAAATATTTTCATTTATTGTTGATAATTAAATATTACAATTTTCATTTATAAATTACCTGTATTTATTTTCCTTGTGTATTCATATGTTGTGGCGCGCTTTCAACCGGGTTGGTTACGTTGTTCTCCGCCTTGTCGGATTTCTTCCTTCAATATCCAAGCACGCTGTTCCTCTTTCAGTTCATTGTCGTTGTCACATCCATTGCTACCAGTGTCAATCTTCCTTCTTTTTATGGGGCTCTCCTTCTTCTTCCTTTCCAAATCGCGAATCCAGGTGCAGCAGTCGTTCCGCCATTTCGTTACACTGCTGTAGTGCCCTTAATCGCGACCCACCATGGTCACCAATATTTGGCACTTTGTTGATGAAGCTGGATTGCACTGCTCTATTTGATTTGTACTGCATTGAAATTGCTTTGTGCAGAGTGGTAGTGGAGGGTGTGCTAGGATTGATAATGCCATTTTTTGTTGATGATTTAGTGTAGATAGAAGATGAAAATGACGATGAAGGATGGTTCTGTGAGTGCCTGGAGATTGAAGGTGAAAATGGAAGGTGACTGAACTTTGTTTCTGTGATGGTAAAGAAGAAAATAAATGAAGAAGAGAAGGACGATGGAATGCCTTCTTGAGACGGAGAAAGAGAATATGATCTCATAGGAGACACTGCAGAAGAAGTTTCAATGGAGATGAGGAAAAAATTTAGGGATTCAAATGGGACAAAAAAATTAGTTGCTTATGATTCAATATTTAACCTATAAACCCCTTTCAAAGGAAATGAAATAGAAACGTGCTTAAGTGAAAAAAGTATTTAAATAATTATATTTGTATTGTTAAAAAATGTCCTTAGGAGGAATATAACTTTTAGTGAATTTCACAGGAAAAATATCTTTTTAATTTATTAAATTTTATTTCTACATTAATCTTTTTAAGGTTTGAAATGTTTCATTCTTTTCTGCCAATATATATATATATATATATATATATATA